ATTATTTATGTCTTGTTTACTCTCAATTGGCTGATTGTGCCAGTCACCTTTCCCCTGGCTCCCTTCTAGGTCCTTCTGTCCACACCTGCTTCCAATCAGTTGATTACTCCATTCTTTGTTCTGTTTGCCATTTATACTCCTCCTCTGCAGTTATTGTTTTCTGGATTTGCTTCATATCGTAATTCCTTCCCTAACCTATGTGTTCTGTTCACGTTTTTCCTTAATTAGTTATTTCTGGATTTATTTTTCTATTGCCACCCCTCATTAAAGCAGCAAAAAACCACCTTAGCTTTCGTCTCTTCATTTGGGTCCTACACTCCATCCGACCTGACAGCAGAATCCAGCCTAAAATCGATCCAGAAGACTTGGACTCAGTTTTAAATGCCTTGGGAGAGACAGATCAACAAAAAGGAGGAGCAACAGGAGATAAAACAACTTAATGCACAATGGGGCCAGTTCAAGACTTCTTTCACAGAAAAACTTGGCTTCCTTGTGGATCAGATCCAGAGGTTTTAAAGCTACCCTGCATGTAACACAGATCTAGACATCCCCATCACCTCTCCAGAAAGACAGGTCAGTTTTCTGTGTGGTCTAAGCAGTCACTCTCATGGCCAACAGCTTTCCTAACAAATGAAAAAATAAAAACTAGTTCCCAAGACCACATCTCCAGCTGCAAGAGCTCCTCATTTCGAGGACTCACTGGACTTTTTTATGGAGAAAGAAAAGATTTGTTTTATTTCATGCCTCTGCATTTAGTTTCACAGTTTCCTTTAGCTCCCTGTTAGCCAGCCACTTCTGAGTCCCAGTCAGACCCCCTCTCCCTCTCCAGGGTTAGATCCCCCTAGTGCTCCCTCTCCTTAGTCAGAGTCCCTTGGTAAAACCTCCCCAGAAACCCCTGAGCCCGCTCTGTGCCGTCCAGAGACCCCTGAGCCTGCTCTGTGCCATCCAGAGACCCCTGAGCCTGCTCTGTGCCATCCAGAGACCCCTGAGCTCAGTGATGAACTATTCCCTGAAATAGAGCTCTGTGAGAGTTCGTCTTCAAGGCCACTCGTCTTCAAGGGCACTCCTCATCGTCAAGGCCCCTCCATGGGTGCTCCTCGTCTTCAAGGCCCCTCCTTGAGCTTCCCTTGCCATCTGCGGTGCCTCTTTGTGAGTTGACAATGGCTACACTTCAAGGGTCTCAATCTTTGAGGGACTCAAGCCATGCTGCCTCTTCGATGGTCTCAAACTGCACGGCCTCTTCGGGGGTCCCAAGCTGTGCTGTCTCCTCCAAATTTCCTGCTGCCGGGACGGCGGCCTCCAAGGTTCCTGCTGCCAAGACAGCAGCCTCCAAGGTTCATCCTGCCGAGAAGCCGGCTTCCAAAGTCCCGGCTGCCTCCAAGCCAGCCTTCAAGCCTCCTGCTGCCAAGACAGTGGCCTCCAAGTTTCCAGCTGCAGAGATGGCATTATTATCTACTCTCATGATATGGAATCCCACAAGAAACATGTCAGATCTGTGTTGGTGCACCTCCTGCAGAATCAGCTGTTTCTTAAGGCTGGGAAGTGTTAATTTCATGTGTGAGCACAGTTATTGACTGGCCTAAATACAGAAAGCAGTTGCAGAGATTCTTAGGGTTTGCAAACTTCTACTGAAGTAGAAGTTTACACGTTTATACCCCCCATGTACAATCCAGGAACCTTCCACAGCAGAAATTGTGACTTTATTCAGAGTGACACTTGATAGTTTAGGATTAGTGGTTAGGGAGCTGTTTGGGAATCAGCCCTGCTGGTGTGTCATGTTGTGTGTCATAATAAGTCCCTTGAAACATGTCATTATTGGTCAAAAGGGCACAAAAGCGCATGTACTTCAGAAGCACCATAGATAGCATTCTGACCAGCTGTCTCACTGTGTGGTGTGGAGGCTGCAGGCTGGAAGAAGGTGAGGAGAGTGGTGAAAACAGCAGACAAGATCATGAGGGCTACCCTTCTCTCCATTAAAGACATTTCATCCTAGCGCTGCGTTTCCCGAGCCCATAACATCATCAAT